GGAGCTGCAGGGAGGCAAACTGTCCTTAATTTGTTTAAACCGAGGGATTTTTGGATTACCTTTGGCAATTAATCTCGTTACATCGCAGAGGGAAGTCTGCTGGAGGTTTAAAGTCAGTCAGCGGTCGATGAAGGGCAACAACTGACCTCTCAGGACGCTGAAGTACTTCAAATACTGTCATGATGAAACCAATAACAATATATTAAAAACATAATCTACCCAGAGCTACAGGCAGGGATTCAGGAGAAAGATAACCCAGGTTTGTAATGACTTTATGTGCCTTCTGATCCAATATTCTACTGAGGTATTCACACCAGAGGTGGAAGAAGTGCTTAGATCTATTACATAAGTAAACGTAGTATTGCCATTTTGTATAAATACTATACTACTAGTATACTAATGCGTCTAAACTGTTGGTTTGTTTAATGAATAACACAATGTCAAATTGTATTGACTATTTTTATGCAAAAATCTTAATTTGTAAAGCCTTAAAATACATGTAGTTGAGTAGAAAGCACAATATTACCCTTTGAGTTATTTGGGAGTAGAAGTGGCATCAAAATAAAACACTTAAGTAAAATACTTGAATTACTTTCGTCCTCTGGTTAACGTTATGCAAAAAGCTACCCAGCCAGTAACTGGTTGTTTGGTAGCTACTTTGCTATTAAGCTAGCTTTGTGTTCACGTGATTTCATTATTATTTCTAGGCTCCTGTAAAGAGTTACTTATGTTGTGTTCAATGTCTGTAACCACTGTCACAAACAATGTTATTTAAAGCTCCTTTAAAAAGAGTTTAATCGATCCTAGTGTTAAGCTTAGCTAACAAGCTAACGCGCTAATGCGCTACACAGCTATGTAGCTAGCTATCTGTCTGTTGTGTGGGAACTACACATTCCTTGACTCCAATAAGGTTGTTTTTANCACGAAGTCTCGTAAAATATCGCAACTGCTCGCGAGATCTGTGTGACGTCAGGGAAAGCTGGCTTAGACATAGTGGACACTGACAGCGTGGGATGCTGGTTGCCATATTTGGTAGTGTTGCTAAGCTAACTCCTTTGTATGTATGGTGATATAGTGTCTGCCGAAAGAGCAACACTTCACCCAGACAATGTCAATATGCTGTTGTTCTTGAACAAGAACACATAGACTTGTACTCTTGCATATTGAGTCTTGTATGTACATCAATATGTATGTAGTTGTGTTGTGTAGTTAGTAACACATGTAGAGTTCTAGGAAAGACATGGTGTAGACACAAGTTGGAAGGGGGCACAATAAACCTGACGAGTTTGAATTTGAGTTGATTATGAGTTTATTTTCAATTGATAATTAGCTCACAATAAGTTCACTTTAGTTACTCACACAACTTGACACAAGTCCGGACTTATAAGTCCGGACCTGAACCTGAACCTCTGGACTTGAGTCCGGACCTGAACCTGAATGTGAGTCCAGGTACACAGCACTAGGTATGGCCCTACAATATATCATTTAAATATAGCATGATAATACATAATAATAATAATAATAATAATATGTAATAATACATGATAATCCTTTAATACAAACAATGTTATGCATGAATCATGCCTTCACAACACAGATAATATCTTAAGATCAACAATAGAAATGTTGCACATTCTTACAAATGCCTTCAAATCAATGAATTTGAGTGTTTACACATTGGTTCCAGTTTTCTAAAAGTTTCATTAAAATCTATTTACTGAATAGGAAGAAAAGGGAAGATTGTAACATGGTTAAATACTTCCAAAACTGTAGCATGAGAGCAGCATGTAACAGCTGTAGCAACTGAAACAAAAATAGCACATGCTTTATGTTGGTGTAGTATTATTAATATTCCATAGTTCAGTAATAATAAATACTCTACTACAAGTCAAAATCCACAATTCAAAACATTTCTTATGTAACAGTATTATCAGCGAACATAAGCTGCAGTAGAATGTTCCCTCTTTGTATTCTATCATTAAAGCTGAAGGTGAAACAAATCTAAAGTAAGTCAGACATATGTAGTGTGTGTGTGTGTGTGTGTGTGTGTGTGTGTGTGTGTGTGTGTGTGTGTGTGTGTGTGTGTGTGTGTGTGTGTGTGTGTGTGTGTGTGTGTGTGTGTGTGTGTGTGTGTGTGTGTGTGTGTGTGTGTGTGTGTGTGTGTGTGTGTGTGTGTAGTAGATAAATGGATTAATTTTTCACCCATTTTTAAATGGACTTAATTTATCAAATAAAATGTTATACAAATTGCTAAACTGTGCTTTTACATTAAATAACTTCTACTAACTTTTTAGATATTTCTCAACGCGCTATACTTTGACTTTTCTTGTACTTTACAACATGGAAGGATTTCTTTTGACCTTATGTCACTTGTTAGTCGCTTTTACCCAAAGCAACATCCATTCAATACTGTGGAGAATCCCCACAGGAGCAACTTGGGGTGAAGTGTCTTTCCCAACAACATGCTGTCTGCAGTGGGGATCGAACCGGCTCCCCTGATCGAAGATCAACGCACCAACCCACTGAGCCACAGCCTGACTTTTCAACATACTGTACTATTTTTTTGTCATATGTGCTATGATTTTTTACCTAATTTGTGGCATACTTTTCCACAACCTTTTTTGTATTTTTGAACCTACTTTACAAACTTTTACTTTAAAAACAATATTTGACAAACTACACTATGACGTTCTTTCATATGCTTAGCCCAGATAAACTTGACTCTTTTTCACATACTGTACTATAACTTATTTCATACTTTGCAACATGTTATGATTCTTTTTCAAATATTTTTTTACGTATTATTCTCTGAATTATTTAAAATACTACGTTATTATTTCTTGATATTTCGATTTTTTAAATTATATTTCAACATACTATACTATGACTTTCAAATGCAAAATCTCAGTAACGTCATTCTTAAAATAAATACATGTAGTGGTATTAAATAAAAGTACTTAGTAAATGTACTTAGTTACTCTCCTTCCCTGCATATCCATGTGTTGTGTAGAGGCACAATGTAGAGGTGTATTGTGGGTAATTGCACGTGAAAGCAGGCTCTAAATAGACGTGCATTAGTCTCCGTTAATCCACTTCAACTAATCTTTGCCAGGTTTAAAAAACATCCTCCACTAACGTCAAATTAAAGGTTTCCCCAAAGCACAAACTTCCCCATTAACATGCAGTCATTAAATAATACAGAAGGACGTCAGAATGATATTAAAGTGTAAAATCCCATAATTTAAGTGGCTTTCCTCAACGGATTAATGACTGAAATGCACGGAGAGCGACAGAGGAAATGAACTGCAGCTGATATTAGTTAGTAATGGATCTGCTGTAAAGGATGCTTTATTATTTAGTTATATTAAAGTAAAAGCATCTTATTAAATGCAAAAGGTTGACTGCTTTTCTCTGTTTCAGTGAATCAGTTAGATGCATTTTCATTTGTGCATAATTAGAGACAGTAAGAGGAATTCATTTGTAAAAAAAGGAGCAAATAAAGAACTATTTAAAAACTAGTTTTGAAACTGTTATACAATAACATAAAATAAAATTCATGTTTACAGGAAATGTAAATATACAAAAAGTACAATAGGAATTTGAGAACATATATAGTATACGTGCAGTGTAATCTGAATTTAAAGTGGGTTTGTAGATGACAGAGTATGTAGAGCTCTGAGTGGAAGAGACCCATTCAAACACATAATGAAGCTTTGGTAACACACGATATTTAAATGGGCGTTAAAACAAAGAAAGCATCCGATAACTCACCTTAATGAGAGTCCGTTTCCTCAGGTCCTGGGTTTTATTTGAGTTATTTCCAGCATGCGTGTCCTCCTGACAGATCCTCACTGACTGAGTGTTGCTCAGAGTCACCCCCCTCCCCCCCCTCCCTCTGTGTTAATCTCTATAATATCCTCTCTGCCAACTACTTACCGTTCTCCTCCATCTTGAAAACACACACCATGCAACGCTGTCACTTTAAATCTTATTTCTAAAGGAAACTGTTCAGAAAATATTCAATATATTCTTGAGCCATAGATATTCAATGTTTATATTATACATCTTATAGAATAGAATATATTTGTACTGTCATCATACAAAGTACAACGAAATGTCTTTGGCAACTCTCACTGCAGTAAAAAAAATACAGACATAAATGAATAAATAAATAAATAGTGGTAAAAGCAGAGGTAGTAGCAAATATATATTATATTATATTGGTAGGCCGGCCTGTTTAAAGGTCACATGTCATGCTTTTCTGGTTCTTACCCGTCCCCTTGTGTTATGAAGGTTGTTCTGCATGTAAACGGTCTGCAGAGTCACAAACCCTCAAAGTACACCCTGTAGAGAGTAAAACTCTAACACAGAGAAGACCTGTCTATGCTGCCCCAGAACGCCTCGTTGGACATTTCTCTTTTTACATTGTTTACTTCTTGGGTATAGTGACGTATTTCGGGTATAGTGACGTTACGTCCGCGGAGCCTTTACCTTTGGACCAATCCGCGGACTTCCTCACACACTCTGCTGCTGCGAGGAGTGGGACACTGTGAGCTGGCTCACTGGCAGGGGCGGACTGGCCATCTGTAGAATCTGGAGAACCACAGAACGGCCGGTCGCCAAGGGCCGTGGACGGCCGGCCGGCCCTTTAAAAAAATATATAGTTTAACGTCATCATTTAAATTGCGCTGACGGCCGACAGAGGGCGACAGTGGCCGCTAATGCAGTTGTGTGGTTCTTATCTGTCAAATAATCACACTCGAAGAAGAAAAAAGACCGGACACACAAAGAGAAGGGATTAGACGCCGCGGCAGACAGGGAGAATGAAAAAACATGGATACAAATCAAAGAAAACGAAAAGAAAAAGGTGGGGCCGAGAAGGCAAGAGAAGAAAAGGTGAAGTCACTCGCAGGTGAAGCATATACATGTCGCAAATTGACAGACCTTTTTGGCAGCAGCGCTGCTAAACTCTATCAGCAGCAGCTTAGAACAAGTGCAAGATGATGAAGAGAATGATGAGGGCGCGAGTTCAGATATACAGCCAGCCTCCTGCTGCGTTCATGATGAGGGACAGAGTTGACCTGCTGGAAGAACCAGCTCAACTGGCACATACAAGTGCAGGGCAAGAGCAAGAGGTGGGTGAGAATTATCCCTTGAACTCAGTGGCGTTTTCTCCTGGAGGCCAAGGGAAGCCTGTTTTTTTGGATTGTAGTTATAATTTTAATAAATAAATAAAAACACTTTGTTTAGTTTCGGTAATTATTCTGCCAGCCCATCTCTCCCCCATTCTCATTGAGTATTTTACAAAGAGTGAAACAGCGCCCCTCTAGATGTTATGATGAAACAGTAGATTGCACTCTCTGTTGCGAGAGGAGGCTAGCCGACATTGGCTTCCCTTGGTGGAAATAAATTGAGGGATTGACCAATCAGATGAGGCTCACGTCATGCCTCACAATCCAATCAAATCGCATCAACTTCAGTTCGTACTGTAACTGTCATCACCGCCCTTAAAAAGTAGCAAGCAACTGAAGCAAGTGCAATTATGGAGGAGATTTGGAGTATTTCACCAACATTTTTTTGACTACACTTCCGCTACAGCAGCAACTAAAAATGAAATCTGATGACAGGCCAATGCCCAAACTGGAGCTGTGTACAGAGAGGAACAAAGGAGTGAATCGGACGTAAAACTTTAAATAATAAACAGCGGATTTCTAAAAATTTGACATTTCATGTGACCGGACTGGGTCAGTTTCCAGGGCTGAATTTTAGTCCCAGTCCGCCCCTGGTGCGAGGAGAAGGTTTTAAACTGGAACACGGGAAATCTGTGCAAGCAGCAATATNAGTATTATCAGCGAACATAAGCTGCAGTAGAATGTTCCCTCTTTGTATTCTATCATTAAAGCTGAAGGTGAAACAAATCTAAAGTAAGTCAGACATATGTAGTGTGTGTGTGTGTGTGTGTGTGTGTGTGTGTGTGTGTGTGTGTGTGTGTGTGTGTGTGTGTGTGTGTGTGTGTGTGTGTGGTGAAAAGTGCAATATTTACAGCTGAGATGTAGAAGTAAATTGTATGTCTACTTCCTTGATATTGGCCTTTCACTGATCTATTGTAATCAGCATTTGTATCAGCCAAAATGCTAAATATTGGCTTTAAAGATTACAAAGGAGAAGACACTCTGCTTGGGGTGATTCACAATAACATTTCCCGTGTTCAGGATCACTTTTTATTGCACTCAAAATCCAAAACTTGTCAGAGCTCTTTGAATGAAAGAGACAATGTAACTTGACATGATATTGTGACATTGTGCCTGGATCAGTGGGGGCCTTATTCAGGGGTTGTTAATGAGTTCTCAGGAAACATCTCCTACGATTATCTGGATCTCACACTGACCCAATGAAAGTCTTTAACTTGCCTTATGTGAGAAATAAACAAAACTAAGACTGGAGCAAGATGACGTTTCTGCAGTCAATTCTACTTCTTACCAATCTGCTGTTGGGTTACCATGGTTTCTCCTCTCATTGCAGCTGGTACTTTGGTAAATTGGGCCGTAAGGATGCAGAGAGGCAGCTGCTGTCCACTGGCAACCCTCGAGGAACCTATCTGATCCGGGAGAGTGAAACCACAAAGGGTGAGCCCACTGACACTATCAACCTGCGTCACTCAGACATTCCCTGATTGAAATCAGAGTCAGGTTCCTGATGTTGAGTCTATGAACTGTCCCCCCCAGGTGCCTTCTCTCTGTCCATACGGGACTGGGACGATGTGAAAGGGGACCATGTCAAGCATTATAAGATCCGAAAGCTGGACAGTGGCGGTTACTACATCACCACCAGGGCTCAGTTTGACACTCTGCAGCAGCTGGTGCAGCACTACTCAGGTACATCACTGTCAGACATCCACACTGCCACTAACCCTGTGTTGATTTGACCACTTCTCACTAAGCAACACCACATAATACAGTACTAGTATTCATGTAATCAAGTTTTTTTATGACTTTTTTTGATTCATTTCAGTGTGTTACCTTTTTATTTATGGATGTTTTCTGCTAAATGTATTTATTCTGGTTATTGCAGGGACATATTCCGGTTCATGTATTTGACTTACTTCAAGAACCTACCTTTGAGCACAAAGCCTATATTTGTTGTGGCCTTGTGCAGCTTCTAACCTGCAGCATTGAGAGATTAAAGTGTATAGCCAACACTCCATTTAAGAGAGGAAACAGACAGATGTTGCCATGGAGACCTAAGTTATGATGGAGACGGAGCATTAGTACAGTGGCCCCGTTTGTATCAGTCCATACAGCAACGTCAAAGTCTGCTGTCCTTCTCCTTGAATTGATCCAGAAAGCATTAAGCAGACACCGTGCCGCTGTGGCTGCATCTGATCACATGATCACATGATCACATGCAGCCATGACAGATGGTTGTTACCATGAGGCACCAGAAAGAAATACAAAAACTAAGATATGTCACATTATGTCCACCTTCTACCGTGCACGCTTCTTTATTCATTATGAACCAAAGTCATGTGTTGCCTCAGTTCTTAGAGCAGTGAAGAAGAAACATAACGACTGCTTTGTTCCACCGGAAACGCAACTTCTGAAGCAAAGGCAGTCCCAGTTAGCTCCTCCTCCAGATGCTAACTGGGACTCCCTGACACACACATTGGATATGTATATTTACAGGATGAGACTTAGGGTTATTGTTTTCAGTTGTCCTCATGTTATCGGTGTCTCTCCTCTTTCTTCACTTTGTTCCCCCTCTTCCTCTGTGTATCCCCCTCTTCCTCTGTGTCTTCTCACTGAGAAAGGATATGTTTCCTGTCATGCTCTAATTGGCACATTGACATATTGATATTTACACTCTAAAATCAACACCATGGATTCTCTGTGTGTTTGTCACATGTCACATTATCCCTAGCCTTCTACATTACGGTGCATTTATCACCTTTATAGACGACATATGGAGCTGACGTCATGTCTTCAACTAACCGAGACTCTTTTCAGGGCTTGTGCTTGTATTGCTTTGTGCTTTCCTCTCTCCTCATGTGTACAAAGACATCAGGTGAGGGGACCCAGTTCACTGCCCATCTGGATGCACATCACATTTAAAGGGAGAGTACGTAACGTTTGAGAAGAGAAAAACAGTCCCCCCCAGTTTGTTCTAATTTTGAGATAGCAACGTTAAAAAAAACATTAAAATTAAATTAAAATGTGAAATGAAGATGTTTTCAGAATCAAGATAACATATTTGACTTACCATCTCATTTTTGTATAAAGTAATGATTTGGCTTACCATGAGTGTTCTATTGTGAAAGGCACCGTGGCTTCCTGTGGAGCACACTTAGGAGACGTGTAGCTGCTGCTCGTGGCTACTAAATGAATATAAGACAACATCTTGTTCAGCAAGTTCCCTCACAAAGAGCTTTCAAATCAAATCCAACAGCCTGTGAGTAATGGATGAGGTCAAAACTGAGGGCACAGAATTCATATTTGAAGCTGCCATGCCTTTCTATGAAAAAGCTGCTGTTTTGATTTGTGGTGTGAGGATAGGGTCCACATAGTGACAGCTTTTATGACAGCAGAATGAACACTCAGCTGCGAGTGAGCAGCCAGATGGGCTCTGATGGTGGAGCTGCTTGTTGAACCCCCCCACAGGAGAGACAGCCTTTATCTGGTCTTTACTGCCTCGTGCAAACAACCCCAGGGCTTACCACTGGAGGGGGGGGTCACTTTGTCCCTGCATTATTAAAGGGGAGGATGGTCTCACTAGATATCAGCATGAAGGCACAAACGGAAACTCTCCCCTAATCCACTGGCTTAATCAATCACAAGCAAACATGAGCGCTTCCTCCAGAGTCAAAGCTGTTTCAGTTCAGTACGCAGATCAGATAAAGTGAGGAGCACACAGCCGAGGATCGACATGGAGCATCTGGAGCAGCACTCTGCCAACAAGCTGCTCCTTAATGCCTCCCACGTGCTCCACCTTTTGTTTAACCACAACTCTACATGCACATTTCAAACTCTCCCTTTATAGAAATGACTGCCATTATCGTAAAGTGTGTACGCGAGTCGTAGATGGCATTAGCCACAGAGCCTTGCTATTTCTCTAACCAACACCCAGATTGCTGCTCAGGCTCTCCAGCTTCATCTGCAGTTTACTGTATATTCATTCAGATTACTTAGAGACCAAGTTTACGGGAGAAAAGTTATATTTGTTTACTTCCATTTATCAATAAAACACAATAGCAAAGCTACATCTGGCTTCATTGGTTTATTGAAGTGGCCACATATATCCCCTACCCTGTTCTGTCCGGCATTAACAAGAACAAGAACCAAAGTGAGGCATACCATGATACACATATCCACAAACACAAAGAGAGAAGGCTTCAGCAGATTTCATTAAACACAAGGATACAGATTGATCATATCAGGGTCACCTTCATACATTACTCTAACAGAAGAATATATTATAAGTGGATATGATTGAATGACATTCATCCTCAACATGTCCAAAAGTAAATTATCCAAACGATCCAAAAGTGCCTGATCCTAGTTCCTGTAAATGCAACTCAAGGATGCTTAGCTCACTTCAGATGTCCATGCTCCCAGTTTGTACCGCAGGCTTCCCATCAGACATTTGTCCATGTCCAGGCCCAAAGTCCACAAGGTCATGAAAACTTCATCTGGGCACACACACAGCCCCCTGACGCCTGGTTATAAGCTCTTGTAGGTGTAGTTTTGAGGTGTCGAAACGTCAGACTGATGCCTGCTGGAGCCCTGACCCTAGTGTGTTGCTTTGAGCCCCCCCCTCCCCCCCCCCCTCTCTGCTAACTCTCTGTACGTGTCTTTCTGTCCTCCTGTTGCCTCGCTGTGCTCCGTGCAGACCGGGCCGCCGGGCTCTGCTGCCGCTTGGTGGTCCCCTGCCACAAGGGGATGCCCCGCCTCGCAGACCTGTCCGTTAAAACTAAGGACGTGTGGGAGATCCCGCGCGACTCGCTGCAGCTCATCAAGCGTCTTGGGAACGGGCAGTTTGGGGAGGTCTGGATGGGTACGGATCGCCTCTGGAAGAAGAGGCCACATGGAGGGGGCCACACTGAGCCAGCAGAGACACCAGACACAAGCCAACAATCTGGCCTCTAAGGGAGGGGATCAAAGGAGAAAATGGGGCAGGACATTTAGACAATTCTCTCTTTGGGTCTTTTTCCAGGAAAATTCTTCTGTTTCTGACCCCTCCCTTCCAAAATGAAAAACATCCAGTGTGTCAGGAGGCTCTGCTTCACAGTCTGAAGATGGCTCCCTTCCATGTCCCTCTCTGCATGCCCCCCTCCCCAGTAGTTAACCCTGTGTGCCTTCCCTTCCCTCCCCATGTAGAGTGTGCGGATGGTTTGTGCTTTAATTTAACGGACGTGTGTGTGAACCACATCCCTGACACTGTGGGCTTGAGTCATGATGCCTGGGAGATCAGCAGAGACACTCTTGTGATGGAAATAAAGCTGGGCACGGGATGTTTTGCTGATGTGTTTTACGGTAAGAAAATTTCCCCAAATAAGTACACCCCGGGCCACCCTGAGAATAAATGTGAAGATTTTCTTTTATCCTTTTACCTGCACTCTGTAATGTGCCAAGAATTGCAATTGAGTTTGCTCCTGGGAGTGAAAGGAACAGTAATCTCATTCCTCTCCAGCACCCCTGCAAGGTTTGAGTGTCTCTTGTAAAACATAATCCATAACCAAGACTTTGGAAATACACCAGTAATGAATCGAGTACAGCCTTACGTGCAGTACGACACTCCAAAATGGTTAAGTTTAAATAAAGGTTTACAATTATTATAGATTTAAAAAAAATAAAAAATCAAGGAAACAAAGGAATATAAAAAGACTTTGGGAGTAGCTAAATAAATGATCGGGCTATCTGCAGGAATGAGCTCCTAACATTGATTGTGAGTCAAACTCTAAACTAGCTGTCAGCTGGCTCTCTGTATCTGAAGGGAGAGGAGCAGTGTGGAGTTGGAAACTGTTCAGTAATAAAATGCAAATTCACAGTCATTCTTTTTGAATGCAAAAGTTTTTAAAATGCACCAAATAATATCACTATTTATTTACTTATTTACCTCAAATGTAAATCATTTACTCATGTTTAGGTAATGAAGTCGAGTATAATTGGCCATTTTCAGAACACAAGGCTGTGCATTCTCATCATACTCCGGCTCAACAGTGTAGGGCTCCTCACAGGTGCCAAGGCACAC